CACTGCAATCCAACAGGAAAACCAAGTGTGCAAAGCCGAGGTCATTCCTGAATCCACCACTAGCTTCCTGTCCTGTGGGCTTGCTCCTTCTGCAGAGGCCCCTGGATGCCGGTGCTACCCTACACAGAAGTTGGCATCATACATGCTCATTGCAGAGACCAGAGTGAGAAGCACTGCAGGAATCAGCCTTTTGAGAGACTGGAGGGTACATCCAGGGCAATGCCTCTGCTTCACTGGGCAGCCCAGGTCTTGTGCTATCAATCTATTTGGTTTGGGGGGGGGGATGACCAGGCTTGAATTCCTACTTTTAAGTTACACTGAAGTCCTCTGTCTGTGCACATGGGAGCCTGAGGCTGTAGGTGCAGTCATATTGCTGTATGGTTCAGCCTGTACTCTGATGGGAAAAGGTGAGAAGGAGCTGCAAGGCAGAGTTATTCAAATACAGCCTTTATAAATCGGTGCTCTTTTGGAATATATTAACAACTGTGCAACACTGTGAATGTGTTTGGTGGCTGCCTTATTGCCATGTGTCCACTGATTCCAGACTCAAGGAACAGGCAGTGCATGCTCTGAAGGTCCCATAGTTGCAGTGGTCTCTGCACACTGGCTCTTATTGGTACTAGCAATATAATTAATGCACATGGAGTAAAGATTTAAGTAAACAAACTGCCTCTTGTTAAAGGATTATTCTACCCCATAAATTATAATAGAATTACAAGTCAAGCAATTGTTGTTTAAAAATCCCTTCCCAGCCTAAACTTGCCTGGGAACCAAGATCTGAGAAGCTGGCAGGAATGGATCAGTCAGCAGGCTTCATCTTTCAGCAACAGATGCTTCTCCCTTGCTCATCCAGATCAGCTGAAGTCCCTGGACTCCTCCAAACCAGAGCAGGATTCCTTCTGAGATTCAGAGAACCTCAGCCATGTTCTCCTAGGGCAGTTGTATTTTGCAGGGGTGAGTGAAGGCAGTAGCCCAGGCCTGGCTCTCCAAATACTCAGAAGGGTTGCTACTGTTGTTACTTAGCATCTCAAAAAAGAACAACCCACAAAAAACCCAAACAAACCCCACAGCCCTGAGCCAAACTCCAATTAAAAAGAAAAAAGTCTGTGCTGACTCAAAGTTAGCACCCTTAAGTAGGTGCTGTGTTTAATGTTTCAGTTTTAGCTGCTGCTGCAGGACTTGGGTATTCACTGTATATCTTGCTAGCTTCATCCAAAGCTGGAAAGATTTATGACTTGATTATTCTGTGAATAGTCTGTATATCTCCATAAATACAGGGGACAAAAATCCTGCATTAACCTACACCCTCCAGTATCCCTCCAGCTTTACAGAGACTGTAAGGAATGTGAATCAGTGCAAACCAAATTTAAAGTGTTTTAAGATATAGCACCATGAACTGGTATTCCCTACCACCACTTCCATTCATGTTACAGATTATTTTTTTGTTGGTGGTGGTTTGTTTTTTTTTTTTAAATTAAGATGAACTAGCACTCTTTTTATTACAACATTATATTAAATATATTCATGTATTTTCAGAAATAAATATATTTATAATGTGTAACATACTGTATAGATCCCTACTACAGGATGCATTGTAATACAAGCATAAGACATTTAATAAAAGCATCACTCTTATGATAATTGTTTTCAGATTTTTATTAATGAACATCTGGGTTGTAATATAGCAACTACCACACCTTTAGGGTTTCAGGTGAGCAGAGCTAGTCAAGAAAGGTATTATTACCTCCAAGCTTTTAGAGAACTTAGCTCTGGCAAAAAAAAGCAAGTTTACCTTTTTCAGACAGGTGCTGTGTTCAAAGATCCAGAAGGAGGAGGAAAGCCTTTGGATTGTTCAGGTATGGCAAAGCGTAGGTGTTAATTTTGAGCAACCTTGTATTAGGTGCTGTTGCTGGGCTTTCCTTCCAAAGCCACAGAGCAGGCACCCACAGCCAGGGTCCACACACCACTTCCAGGGAGAAGAAATGGTGAAGGCACTAGGGACAAAAAGCCTGGAGAAGAGAAGGCAGTATGGAGATGTCGTAGCAACCTTCCAGCATCTGAAGGGGCTACAAGGGAGCCAAAGAGATACTCTTTGATAGAAGCTGCAGGCACAGGACAAGGGGTAATAGGTACAAATTGAAAGAGGGGAAATTTAGGTTAGATATGAGGAAAAAGTTTTTTCCTGTGAGGGTGGTGAGACACTGGCACAGGTCGCTCAGGGAGGCAGTGTTCAAAGCCAGGCTGGATGTAGCCTTGAGCAACCTGATCTAGTGGGGAGGTGTCCCTGCCCATAGCAGGGGGCTGGGACTAGATGAGCTATAAAGGTCCATTCCAACCCCTAAAATTCTATGGTTCTGTAACAAAGTATGCTGATTCTTGGCACTGAGGTTTCTTTCTGAAAAATCTGGGTGCATTGGCAGCACTGCACAATAGCCTCAAACTAATGTGCTGGCTGCCCTCTGGGCTGCTTTTCCTCAGGTCCTTCATTCCCAGACAGCAGCATCCTCCTGGACAGAGCTTTCCTTCACCTGCAGGAATCTAAGCTGTTGTTTGCAGCACTCCACAACACCTTTAGGTCACCTGTGTGACCAGGCAGTACAGAGTGAAGCTAAAGAGGCTGGTGATGGAGGAAAGCAGGTAACTCAAAGGAAAAGTGACAAGTCAATGAGATCCAAATAAAGAAAGCAGAAGCCTAGAAAAAAATAAGCTGGAAATGCACCTGTGAAAGCAGAACAAAAATAGTACACTTTTGCAGAAACAAAAATTGCACAACATAGGAGCCATGAAGCCACTAACACCCCAGTGGAGTTTGAGAACAGGTAAGGAAGACAGAACCAATGCACCAGAGGAGGAAACCTCCATGCTGCCTAACTTTCATCCTGTGCCTGTGCTTCACAGGAATAACTCATACTCCACTGCTGCTCAAGTCCTGCCCTTCTGCTGAGGACCAAGCAGCAAACCTTAAACACCGAAGACTCCCCAGAGCAGATAAGAGAAGAAAGTTCACTTCTCTGCACTCGCCAACCTTCACTCAGAACTGCAATTGTCCTACACTAAGCAGCATCTTGATTACAGCAAGACTCAGCTCTGTACCAGAAGGGACAGTCCCTGCAGGGGAATTTGATTCTGGAGTCTATGCACCTAGAGCTCCCTGCCCCTTTGAGATGGTTAAGCCACCCCATGGAGGAACTTGTCTCTCCTAGCCTCTTCAGCATTCATGCAGGCATCTAAGTTCTCTAAGCAAGTATTTCGTGTCTCTTGCTGAGGCATGGGAGGTTTCCTGCAGCAGCCAGGGAGGTGTTTAGGTCTTGGCTTGCACACGCAGTTAGGACCAGTGCCAGAGCACCCCACCTGGTGCACTGAAAAGGTGTGGTTTGTATTGCTCCTCTAATTGCCCAGTTAATTAACATTACAGACAGCAGCTAAAGACTTGTCACAAAGTACATTATGAGTTTACACTCTGCTTTCCCAGACGGAGCTCCACCTGTACCAAGGTCACTTAGTTGCTAGAGGCACTCCCTAAAGGAGGAGGCTGTTTGACCTATCTTCAGCAGATTTTTTTCCAGCCTCTGACCTCCTTCACCCTCTCACCATACAACTTGGAACAGTTTCCTTCTGATTAGATTTTAAAAGCTGGCAAGACTAGGAGCACTGGTTATCTTGAAAGTATCAGGGAAGAGCAGTTCTGCTAGAAAAATAAAAACATAAGCTGATTGCTGAAGTATCTTGGAGTAGGAAAGGAATTAAAAAGCAGATCCCAGTACCTGCTGACACCTCCAATCACACAGAATCAGGAAAAGCTAGCTAAGTAGAACAGTTTCTGCTACCTCAAGCAAGCTACTGATCAGCTCTTCCCCTTTAAAGTCCCCCAAGCAGTACAATTAAGACTCTTCTCCTGCCTTAATAGTGAGAATTTCTAATCAAGCCTGGGGAGGGGGGAAAGGGTAAATATTCTTCTTTCCCCTCAAGTGTAGCTGCTCAAGGACTAGCCCTTCAGCAATAAGGGGATCTCAGTGTGAGTGCAAGCACCAGAGCTGCCCCAGGCTGGGCAGGAAGGAGTAGGGTGGAGCACCTTTCCTCCCTCCACTGTCTGTAGAGATTTGCTGTTTTCACCCAGGACCTCAGAAAGTTAAGAATGATGCTGCCCAGCTGCTGTGAATGACACCACCACATTGAACTGCCCCTAATGATCAAAACAGCAAGTTTTAGTTCTCATCTCAACAAAGCACATCCCTGGCACTGTTACACCAATACAGATGTCAAATTATCTTTAATCCAAGAGCTTTGAAGACTCTTAACTGTCTGCTCTCATATGAAGATTTAAGATTAACCTTTATATAAAGTTTGATTCCCCCCCGAAGTTCAAACCACCTAGGCCCTTTGATTTTATGGCAATTGGAATAATGTTTCCCTGTTCTTTTTCCACAGAAATATCCCACCTGCCCTTTTCTGTTTCTAGGGCAAGAGAGGTAGGTTCACCCACAGACCGAATCATTAGAAAGGGCCATTTGTGCAGTGCTTTGCCTTTCTTGCTTTCCAATCCTGTCACATGAGCACAGCACCAATTTACCTAATGATTCAGCAGCAGGTAGGCAATTCCCAGCTTCTCCACACTGTCAGAAGACCTGCTCTGCATCCTCAAAGGAGAAGTACCTGCAAGATCTGCTTTTAGTTAGTTTTGGTGCACTTCTACTCAGTTTTGGAGAGCAGCCAAGGTCAGTACTCTTAAGGGCCACCCTAGTCAGTGACAGAAATACAGACACCACCCAGAATCACTCCTGCTTCAGTCTGCAGCCCAGGTCATGGCAAGGGCTCCCTCTTGTAACCAGCAGACAGTCAACATCAAAGCCAGAGCAGAATAATTTTGGGAAGTGAGATGAATTTGGAGCATTTGGAAAGCTCTCACAGCCATCAGATAATTTTTGCCTTGCAAATGAAGTCTTAAAGCTAAGGTCTCCAGGGCAAGGAGTACCACAGACTGAATGGGTTTAACAGCCACTTTATTGCAATCCATTGATTTCATGTGTTGCTGACACCTTCCTTTGCCACAGCACAGCAGCCACAAGCACCATGCACAGAGCTGCCCCAGTTGTCACAGCAGCAAACCCCAGAGCCGAGGGGATTGCAGTATGCACAGCTGCTCCTGTTGGGGAGAGGAGCCCTGGTTAATGCACTCAGTGAGGCAAAGGGATGCATTAGGGACTCAGTCTTTCTGCAGAAAAGACTTACACCAGCCCTCTTCCCCAGCCTTGCTGTGCTGGGCTGCCACACTTACCAAGGTCATCCTTGTATGTGTCCCATCTTAGCTCATCCTGGAGAAAAATCACAGGGCCTTTACTGGAGACATGGGAGGCACCTTCCTGAAAGGGATGCTCAGCACTCCTTTTACCTCCTACAGAGCAATGTGAAGGTTGTAGGTAAGAAGATGTATAGCCCTGAAGGTCAGCAAACTTTGTCCAGGTCAGCTTCTCAACACATGAGAAGCTCTGAAAGACAAAGCTTCCACATTAGTCCACACAGAATTAAGAGCCTTTTTGGCATAAGAGTAACAGCCCTTTGTCAGTGGAAAGGAGCAGGAAAAACTTTTTCAAGCTGTCTGTGGCTCAAGGGAATTAGTCTATAGTCTACATGTGCCCTAGTCGTGAGCTTGGAGGCTAGACCCTTGTTGTCCCATTGGATGGGGAAGCAGAAGACTAGGACACTTACTGGCTCTAGCAGGACAAGTGGTGGTGCAGGACTCCTGTACAGAGCGGTGGCACACTGAAGCACTGCAGTGCAGGTACACCTGTAAAGAATGGAACACAGTCTGGAATCACTCAGGCAGTGTCTGTAGACAGGTAATATCCTGGTGCGATGCACTGACCCCAGCCAGCAGCTAAGCATCAACACAGCCACATCCTCACTCCCCCTATTCAGCCCCAGCAGGCTAGAGAGAGAACAGGAGGAGCAAAAGCAAGAAAACCTGTAGCTGGAGGGGGAAAATACAGTGAATGAGAGGAGAGGGAAAAGCAAAACTAAAGCACAAATGCTGCAAAGACAAATCTCCCACCATGCTCCTACAGATGGATGGGTGCCCAGCCAGTCTGAGCATCAGCTACATTGGAAGACAAAATCTCCCAATGTTTATTGCTGAGCACGAAATTAAGCAGCATGGAATATTCCTTTGGCCAATTTGAGTCAGCTGTGCTGCCTCCCAGCTTCTAGCCTACCCCATACCTACTCACTTGGGTTTGAGAAGCAACAGAGCAAGGAGAGAGCCTTGGTGCAGTGCAAGCACTATTCAGAAAGAACAATGCGTTTTCAACACCGTTTTAGCCACAAATCTAAAACCACAGCACCATATGGGTTGCTATGAGGAGAGTTAACTCCGTACCAGCCGGACCCAGTGCACCTGGCCACAGAAAGGGGAAGGCAGGAAGGTCGCTTTGACTTGTTTCACATCCAGGCTGTAGCCTTGGAGCCCTCTGCTGCCTGCTGCAAGGCATCTTCGTACCTTCACCGTACACCTTCAGACTCACACAGGTCTGGCATTACAGCACTTCTCCCTGACACCTCGGGCACAGCTGCCCGAGCACCACCACACTGACCATCGTTAGGTACAGCTGGGACCAGTTTTGAGTGTTAATTGATCTCGGCAGCTCTGACCAAACTGTACAAGGCATGGTGAAATTCATGTGACTTAACTGTGCAGAAGCTCGTGAGATTCAGAGCCCAGATGCTTTGCAGGTACTGAAAGCTATTTCCAAGTCGTTTTGGCCAAGAAATTTGGTTGAGAGAATATAGATCAGCATAGTTAGAGCACACAGCCTAAGCTAATTCACCAGAACAGCTTGGGCAATAACCTAGCGCTTGCTTAAGTAGATTACCCTGTCAGTAGCCTCATTTTCTATCACACCCATCCAGTGATGTATCTTACCTCTACCACATTTATCTCAGGGAATAAAGTTTCTTGCATCAACTTCTCCTCTTCCTGCTTCAGAAGGAGATTATCCTAGTCTTTGCCCACCTGTCTCACCACACCTCCACCCCACCCCAAAGGAGGCCAAGAGTCTCATAGTTGTGAAGTGGTTCTGTCAGCTCACACATTTTACTTGTCCTCAACAGGAAGCTAGGAAGCTAGCACAGGATCTTACCAGCCCAGAGAGCTTCTCTTGGGAAGTGGAATCCACAAAAGTGAATGTGTAGAGGGCGAAACGCTGATGATGAGAGGGGAACCGTAGTCCTGAGGCTAAACTCAGAGGCATCAGCTGTGTCTGATAATTGTCCCCTGCATAAGGGCACCTGAGGAATAGAGGTGAGCAGTGAATAAAAGAGCAAGTTATTCCCCTGACCCAAAGTTATTCACAAGTCTCTTACCCATCCACCAAAACAGGCCACTGCAGCTGTTCCTTGGGGTTGATACTTGGTGTGGCCCAGCAGTGATGCAGAACTAAAGTCAGGTCTGGGTCTGTCCTCTGAAGGATCTTGACTTCTGCATAAACAGGGTCTCTCAAAGTCTTCACAACAGGATAATCACTGTCAGTATAGTAGGAAGTATAGCTTCCATCTGGGGCAGAAGAAACCCAAGAGACATCTTACAGTAGGAAGAAACAGAAAGAGGTACACTGAGAGCATTCTTCATAGCCCTATTGGTAAGCACCCACCATAGCAGGGAAGCAGTGCTGGGTTAACCCATCAATACTCCCTTGTTACTCAGCAGAGTCCAGAACCCTGCACCAAAAGGCTTGAGTAAGTCCTGCAAACTTCTTACCTGAGGCAACACGTAGCTCCAAGGAGAGAAGACCTGGCTGGAACACAGGAGGTAGTGGTGGCAATGTGAAGACCTGAACACTCAAAGGAATGGAGCTCCCAGTGATGGAATAACTACATCTAACATGTAACCTGGTAGGACAGGAAAGCTCTAAATCAGGCAGGTAAGAAAGGTCACTCTGATATCTCTTTTCCTAAATATGGCAACATAATATCTACTTTAATTAGTTATATCCCAAATCTTTCCTCCGATACTTCATTTTAGCAAAAATATAAATTCTCTTTAGACAGATTTGAAAACCTGCAGTGTCACTAATCAGCACCAGCTTTATTCCCACTAACTAGAGATATACCAGTCCTTATTCCAGTGCCTCGTTGTGAATTCAGAGCTTGTGACAGGAATTTTTCTCGTGACACTGAACACAGTGGCACCCAGCAGCACCAGCCCCAGGGTATTACCTGAAAGTGCTGTCCCTAGTGACAGAGCCAAGGCTTCCATTCTTCACACCCCTGGATGCCACCAACTCATTCTCATATATGGCCTGTTCTCCAGTCACCTGGAATGACAGACCAGGCACTGTCACTGTGGTAAAGTCAAGCTGGATCAACTCCAGGCTAGAGAGCAGCATGTGGCCTTTGGGGTGTGTAAGGTGCCCATTAAGTAGCCAAAGTCACATCAGGTTGCTTCAGGTTTGCAAGCTCCTGCTATTCCAGCCTACTGACAGCTGCAGCTCTTACCTGAAAAGTGGTGCCACATGCAGAGAGTGGGAACTGGTACACAACAAAGGCATTGTTTTTCATGACAGGGGCACAGCCAGTACTGTGTCCACTGGCCAGTTTCACAGAGTCCAGGACAATGGGTGGCAGGGTCACATCTCGAGAAACAGCAATGGAAAACTGCCCATCTGGTGTGCAATGAGCTGTCACTGGAGGAAAAGATATAATCAGGTCTTGAGCTCAGGGAGAAAAGGGATGGACAGGAGACCCAAACATCACAGCAAAGAGGAGGCCAGTAACCTCTGCAAGTTCTCCTGCCTTTAAACCCCAAAACCAATGCTAAGCACAGCAAAACAAGTATAACCAGCTCTAACAGCAACATTAATTTTGGCCATAAACCCAGGTCTGTTGCAATGCACACAAAAGGGCTGGACACTTCAGTGAGCCAGTATTCTTGACAGCCAAAAACATAGCTCTAAGCCACCTGCAGGATTGGTACACACCAGCCTTGTTCTGCCAGAAAATCGAGGAATCCTGGTTTGCAGCTCCTCTGGGAGGAGGGGAGGACAGCTGCTCAGGCTTACCTGTGTTACCGAAGTAGCAAGGCTTTACCCTCTCCCTAGGGTCATAGCAGCAGCCTCGCACTTCACAGTCTCCCTGGCTGGTAGGCAAGGAAGCACATGATAGCCGGTCCTGGTGGAGAACAGCTGAACAGACACCACTGCTTGGAGCATCCAGGGCTGGAAAAGAAACAGCAGGAGTTTGCAGCTAAAGTATAAGAGCAGGGGGACAAAGTCACAAAGGACAGTGGTGGAAGGTATCTTCATGACCCTGCATACAAATCAAGAGAAGTCAGACTCAGGCAGAGTTCAAACACATGGCCTGGAGCTGGCATGGAGGTCTGCTCAGAAGAAACCTGCATTTCCCTGGAACAGACATTTCCCCTGAAGCCATGTACAGGAAACTGGATTTGCATGGGATCTGTCAAGATAAAGTGTTCTGGATCAACTCTTGGTAGTTAGGAAAATCATTGTACCTAGTCTCATCCTCAATCCCTGAGCTTGTAGGTACTCATGCAGTCAGAATATAGCTAGGAGACACAATGAGCCTATTCACCTGCTGACCCTGCAAAGAAGCACAAGTCCCCAGCAAACTGGTGGTTCTTGTGTCCAAACCCTTTTCTAGGGAGCTTTCTGCACAGCAGAAAGTCTCTTTTCCCAGCCCCCAGTCTGACTAGGAACAGCCATCTGAAAGAAACGGCACTCATTGCCACAAGATGCGAGTGTCTGTCAGAGTCCTACCAGGAAGATCCACAGGGCACCTGAGCAGTGTCTCTTCATGAAGAGCCTTTTGTCCAGCAGCATCCATTTCTTCAAGGCCAACCAGCATGAGGTAATTCCCATCCTAGGGAAAAGCCACACACCAGTCAGGACAGCCAGAGCAGCAGTAACCACATTCCTAGCAGAATCCCTAATGTCACTTACCCACTCAAAGACGTAACAGCCAGTATAAGAAACCCATACTTTCCTGGAACCATCTGGCATCCCAGATACCAAGAGTCCACAGTCAGAGTCATTCTGCAGAGCATGTGCCTTCCCTTCAGTATCT